AACAGTGGGGCGCCAGTTAGGCTCTATGGTTCTCTGAAAGACTTTGTAGCCTCCTGTAAAGAAAAAGAAGAATGTGCCATTGGCGGTAGTGAGTAAATGGAACCTTCTTGTCTTCTTTGCTCTTGTCTCCTTATAAATAAACCATTGTTGTCCATCCTTGGCATTTGCAGTTCATTGTGATAAATTGGTCTTGATGTGTCTGACATTTCAACCAAGTTGTTTAATGGTGCTTTGCTGAAAAGGCGGATCTTGCTATAACTCCCATTGGTCCAGAACATATCCAGGGTAAGAGCACTCACCGTCACGTACAGCACTAACCCTTTCCTTTCTGGGTGGATGAAGAGGAAAGTAGGAAGTAAACATTTTGCTCACGTAAGCCCAAAAGGCCGGGTTTGTGTAAGCAGCGTGCAGAAACAGGAACATGAAGTCTGGACTGCAGTAGCTAAAAACCTGTTTCATAGCGTGAACAACATTGAGTCCACTTGCACCACTGCAGCATCTCCGGGGCCCAACTTGCTGAAATAATGCAGAAGTATTTTCATCACAATTTTGCATTGAGTTTTATGCAAGATCTCCTATCTGTTATCTGCCAGTGCTTACAAGTTGTTGGCTTCCATGCAATGATTGCTCAGGTGCATAAACCACTGGAATGCAGAGATTTGATGAACTGTGACCAACAGCAGCTGCTGTTGCTGCATCCCTGCAAGTTTAAGCTTTGATTTACATTTTTTAGATGTCTGTAATTACTCTGTCAGTGTGCTGATTAACACAAAGATTCCTTTCTATAAATAGGGGTCTTCTGTCCATACCTTTCCAAACCTTTCAGCTTCCTGAAGCCATTAAGCATCTGCCCACAGCAGCCAAGCAAAAGTAATGCCCATACTTAAACTGTGACCAATAAATAACCTTTTGCTGGTTAATGATCCCAGTGTGTTATGATACCATTTTATAACTATATTTCACCTTCTTCAGAATCAGGTGTGTGGAAAATGTTCTCACCTGTCTTGGAGATTTGCTAGAAGGATGAAAAAAATGGTCCTAGTTGGCATCAAAAGAAATTTTCCTTTCCATCACCATAGCAAGAAGAGCTAGAACAATTTTGGGGGATGTGGACCAATAACCAGATAAATAAATGTCTTTGTGACTTTCTTTGGTCCCCCACTTTTCCCAGTATGCCAGTCCAGTGCAAACCATGTTCTTGAATGCACCGCACAAACGCAGACAGGAGACAAACTCAAACTTTCAATGTGCAAAAGCATGGAAATCCATTTGGAGTAATAAATCTAGCGAGGAAAGTTATGTTATCACCTGTATTCTAAGGATGTGTTTGCTTATGGTAAAAACATCTTTTAGAGCATGGGGCAGCCAAGAAGCAAACCTCCTCCCAGGGCCCAGCCTTGAATCGAATGTGGGGAGAAGAGGGGCTCGGCAGAGTGCGAGTCCTTGGCAGCTGGGTTGATGGTGGAGGCATTGGGGAGCGGGTGGCTGGGTGTCCATGGCCATGGAGCTGCACACCTGGGAGCTGAGAGGCTTTGCAGGCCTTGACGGAGGAATGCAAAGGCCACGTAGCTGCTGGAGACCCCGGTCACAGCATCCCTCTGTACAGTATTTGGTATTTTCACCGTCACGGTTTGGCAGGTCCCCCAGAAAACAGTGCAGCCCGGCTGCTGGGGTCGCTTCCCCATAGCCGGGCGTTGTGCGCTCACCCCACCCAGCCTCCTGTGCTGCCTAACACGCGTGGCCTGTGGCCACCCTTGTCCCTTTCCCAGAAGTGGCCATCTTCTCCTCAGAGGTGTCACCTTTCTCCTCTGAGGGGCCCGTGGCGGTGAAGCGAGGCCTCCGGCACCTTCCCTCGCTGGCCCCTTCTGACAGGCGCAGTCTGTAACCCTGGTATGGCTCTGTACAGAGGTTTGGGGGGAAAAAAAAAGTTACGTAGAGACATGGCTGCACGTTTTTATTTTTCAGCGCAGCGTTCTGCAGGCTCACACCTGTGCATGTGGGGGCTGGGTAAGGCTGGCAGAAGCGGTGTTTTTGGGGTGCGAGCCCTTGGTGCTGAGGGGCTACGGGGCTGCTAGGCCAAATGGGCCATTTTAGCTCCATTTTCCCTTGTTTGAGGGGGCTATGGGTTGCCAATCAGCTGCCACAGGATTTGTTTTTCCTGTGTCCTATGAGGAAAGGCTGAGGGAGCTGGGCTTGTTCAACCTGGAGAAGAGAAGGATGAGAGGGGACCTTATAAATGCTTATAAATATCTGAAGGGTGGGTGTCAGGAGGATGGGGACCGCCTCTTTTCAGTGGTGTCCAGTGACAGG